CTGCGTGCAAGTTGAAAGTCAAAAGTCAAACAAATTTAAATAAATTAAAATTAATTTATAGGGTGAATATATCTTTTTGTCTTTTCCTTGTGTGCTGCTCAGATTTGTGTGTCTGTATGTCTGTCAATACAAATCTGTTCATTTCAGAGCTCATGAGACTTAAAATAACATTAACTTAACTATACACTCGACAAAGGTAATCTGCAGTAGCTTCACTTTTTTGCACTCCTTATTGTGTTGTAAATTTAATTCTTAATAAAAAATAAATACATTTTTGTCCATCAGTCTACGCCCAATAATCCAAAATGACAGAGTCAAAATATGTTTTTAGAAATCTTCGCAAATGTATAAAAAATCAAAAATCCAAGTCTCTACAAGCTTTGCACGTTTGGATTTGAGCAGTTTATCCCAAACTTCATAGCAGATCCTCTCAAACTCAAACTTGAGACTTCAGGTCTGGGCTTTGACTGGTTCCCTCAAGGACAACCAGAGACTTGTCCTGAAGCCACTCCAGTGTTGTCTCAGGTCACCTGCTCTCTGAAGCAGGTTTTCTTCAAGGGCTTCAATTGCCACCAGGTACCAAATAGGGCCTGGTGTTTAGATTTAAAGATAATCAATCACCTGATTTTACAGCTCACGTCATATACAAATATCACACTTACTGCCAGACATGTAGGAGGTGAGAGCGTATCAGTGTGCTTATAACAGTATTGTCAGTGTTGTCAGTCCATACCTCAAACATGGGTAAAAATGTACTATTCAGATGACTCCCTTTCCTCTATTGCCAGAACTGCACAGCACGTATAACTTAATTTTGTCTATGCCAACACATTTTGTACTTTGTAGATATCATGATACCAAAAAAGAGACAGAAGAGCTTTTTCAACACCGAAAGCATATGTAATACTTATTAAACTAACCAGCCAACAGCCACACTGATTTAAAATTCAAATCTGTTAGCTAACGTCACCACCCTTACATTATTAGATTGTTAATACCGATGTATGACTGGATTAGCAACATTATACTGTTGTAGCTGGTCAAGGTGGAGTTTGTTTTAAATGTGAAATCAAGGATAAAAGAGAAACTGCAACACTGGTATGCCTAAACTGAATATAAAAATAAATGTCTTTTCCATTAACATTTAATGCAAGTCTTTTCCATTAACAGGTAGTTTCCTAAAGTTAACTTTCTTTTAGTCTTTCATCTTTTATTGTGTATATAGTTTTTATAGTTATAGTTTTCATGTTTATGTTAATAAACTGGTTGACAGCATTAAAAAGTCCTATTTGTTTTGGAGGGGTGGCAGGGCCTTTGTGTCCCTACCAATATTGAAACCAAACCTATGCCCTTGCATTTTCATAACCTTTAGAGGTAAGTACAGAAGCCTTGAAAGGCAAGTAAAATCACCTGGAAGGACACATGAATGCTTTTACTCCAATTTATACTGGGGTAGTGGTGATGCTGAAATTATCTGTTCCACATAATAATTATGATTATCACCATATTTACCCAAATTAAGCAAATTACTACGAGTACTATAAATTGATAATTCAGAGAATGAGAGATGGAAACCAATCAGATGGTGAGTTTGCATTATAAAATCTGAATTTGAGCCTGTAAGTGAAAGTCACAAATAGAAAATCTAAAGCGACACCTATGATTGTGTAATGCATTTACTTGAACATGGAGACAGACTAAAGGTTCACTTTTCTTTCATCATCTCTCCTCCAGTGATGTAAGGGCTGTGTTGTGTAGGATAGAACTAATTTGTATGGGTTTAAGTTTTTGTATGGGTTTAAGTATTTACTCAGTTTGCTCAGTCAGTTTGCTCAGTCTGTTGTGCTATAGTCTTCCCCTTTGGTCATCACTTTTCTCATCACTGTTGCAAAAATGCAAAATGCAAAATGTTTATAGGAAATTTACTTTATTTCTGAGACTATTTTCTTGTAAAAAAAGGAACCTGAAGGTCATCTGTGCAGGCATGTTATTATGACCCACAGTTATGTTTTATTGTTAGGTCATTAAATTAAATATTAAATAATACTTTATAGTCTATTCATTCATTCATTCAAACCTTTATTTATACAGGGAAGGCCACTGAGAGCAAGCTCCCTTTTTCTGGGATGCCCTGAAACAAAATATACAATACAAGAAACAGTTATGACATACTCTACTGCAAATATTTTAGTACTTACTGACAAATAACCCACTGCACACAGGTCCACAATGGAATAAGATTTTACCCTCCTGAAAAAGTAAAAAAAAAAGAAAAAAGAAAAAAGAAAACAAAATCAATATGTGGCGGTCAATGGCATATGTCGGCGGCCCACCACAAGTAAAACAATTATGGGAAAAATAACACTGTATATGGTTGTTTAAGTTGGAGGACATGTTATTTCTGTGTTGTACTGAATATAGAGTTTTAGTGAAACAACCTGCACACAAAATGTGCTTTCTCCCTATTTTCTTTTTTGCTCTTGTAGCGTACATACCTGGCCTGGCATCAATCACAAGCCATTAAGGAAGTTCATTATAAGGACATGCAGAGTTACGGACCCACAATTGACACTTTGCAACTCTTCCCACCATCAAACTATCAAATTGATAGGAAACAGAGACAAAGGACCCCTCTTCCACAAACAGACCATGCTTTTAGCATGTCCGAACGACACAGAACCAGACCAAAGGTCAAAGGGTCAGCTCCAGAGGATTAACTAATGGACACCAGACAACTGGAGAATATAGGCAAAATCTCCAGTTTGTAACAATAAGACTTTGTCTATTGATATTTGATTGTTTCTTGTATAGGACAAGTAACAACAAAAGACTGATTAACACTAAAGTGTGAATCCTGGCCTGTCTGTGCCATGCATGAACACACACACCAACCTCCCTTCCTCTGTCCCTCTCTAGATAAGAGTCATAAACTACGGCCCACATTCCAATCCTGGGTAGTGACCAGCAGAACTCTCTTCATAGACACAGATCTAAGGAAGAATGTAAAATTAAATATCTAACTGTTCTCTAACTCATGAGATGTTCCTATGCAATGGTTTAATCCCAAACTTCTATCCCATAGAATGTTTGAAAGGTAACATGTAGATTTTAAGACAATGTCCTTCCTGTGACCATACTGTCAGCATCCTTCACACGAGGTAACACACACTACATGACATCCAGCATGTCAATATTAATATTATTACAGTCAAAGAACTGCTGTGTAATCCACATTTATAGATTATTAGCTTTGGGAAATGTTTATATTGTTGTTTGATCAATTAACCACTTGTATCATGATTAATTCCAGGTTTGAAGGATGTAATATGAAATCAACACTCCTATTACTCCTCTCTGCCATTATTAGTGCAAATAGTTTTATATGTTATTTCACTTAATGTTTTGTGGTCATGGTGGAAGACGGATGTGCGAATTTATAAGTAAACTCTAGATTTAAATGATTCCAAAGTTCAGTGGAAAATTACTCTCTTCTCCAAGTGGAAACACAGGAGATTGGGGACGCCCCTGAAACATGCACCCGCCCCCCAGGGGATAAAACAGTCGTGATCAATTCACATAGTTCAGTTCCAAAAAAAGCAGTTCCAAGAAGATCAGTGCAGAACAAGTCACAAAGTTCCAAAAATCAGTTCAGAAGAGAACCAGAAGAGAAAGAAAAGTCAGAGAAACCCAGATGACAAGAAGATGCGAGAAGCGAGAAACGATGCAGAAACTAGAAGCTGAGATCTTTGCTCAAAGCTCAGAGTCCCGGCTCAAAGCCCGGCTCTGTAGCCATGTAAACTCTTAGCTCTAAGCTGCTAGCCACAAACTCATGGCTCTTAGTCATTTTTGCACTTTTCGCGTCTTTTATTTTTCTTTGCCACAAGCTACAAGTAACATGATTTTTGTCTACATGCGCGATCTTTTAATTTTATAAGCCAAGTCAAGACCAACTGAACCAAAGCAACAGAAGTGCCTCAGAGTAATTTTGTAACTTTTAATCATCATCAAGTTTTCCTTTTTGAAGATTTTGACAACTTTAGAGTCATCTGGTCAATGCCAGTCTCCTCTAATCTCCAACCAAAGTGAAGAGCATTAGAGTTTATTTTGCATCAACCCACAAGAGACGCCAGCAGATAACACCTCTGCACGACTGCTTGCAGAGAAGCTGAGCAGAAATCAAGAGTGCCCGAGACAGAAAGTCTCCTGGCAAACTCCACCAGAGCTGAACTGCTGAGACACCGGCAGAATCCGTCATCGTGATAACGGGACACGGCCTCCAGGAGAATCCACCTAGATCCCGCGTCTCCAGGGTTACCACGGCAACCACAGCCACCTGGGTTCCAGCCAAGGGTCTTCAGCTACTACGCAACTCACAGTAGGCCGGTCTTAACACTCTGCTCATGACTGGGTTGATGTAGAAATATAGCAATATTTAATCATCAAACCTAATGTGTAGATGTAGTATCATTAGCCGTATAGCCATAGTGTATAGCCATAATATATTCTCTACCACCATTGCCAACTCATCACACTGCTCATTTCCTTATTATTTTCATCTTTATGATTATTACACCTTGCATTTACTCTGTAGATAGTAGTTTAGTTAATAAACTCTTTTATTTACACCCAGTTGTTGTCCTGTTGTATTCTTTTGACGTAGAGACTGGAGATCCATTGAATCGAGAAGTCATGGCTTCCGATATGAGATTGATAAATTTGGCAATGAAGTAATTCATTGTTGTCCTCCTAGAGGACTGGTGCCCAATTTCAACGAGAGTAAATCCTAAAATATGGCGTTAACGCTACACTCTTTTAACCCTTCATGATTGAGGATACCCACGGCAAACTCAGCCAACAAAAAAAAACTGATAAGTTTCTCTAAAAATGAACGTTACACTTAAAAACAGGATGGATAATTAATTGGACAGTACTTGTTCTTTACCTATTTTGTTCTTTCTTCTTCTCACTTCTTCTTTCTCCTTCTGTTTCCTACACATCAGTCTCCATCTTGGAGGTGGAGTGCATTCGGGAGGGTTGCCAGTCAGAAATGTTGCGACAATTGGTTGGCTCAGTACCTGAAGGCCAGTGTTTGACAGTGGTCTTCAAAGGGCCCCGGAAGAGCCTGGATCTCCTCTGTCAGAGCCAAGAGGAGGCTCAACACTGGGCTCGCGGCATTCGAACTCTGCAAGAGAGAGTGGAGAATATGACCCAGAAGGAAAAACTTGACCAATATCCTAACTGTTGTTCAATTAGCCTTATCTGGAGAGATAATTGTTACGAAAAAGGAACATATAACAGTGCCATATACATTTGGAAGAAATAAAGTATAACAAACTTTTGTTGGAGGCCCTTGCAAGGATCCCTCAGAGACACAAACCAGAGTGGCAACAGTTTAACCAGTGAAAACATATGTTGGTACTTTTTGTTTCTCCACTTTTTTGATTGAATTAGTTCCAAAAATCCCAGAATCCTAACACTATCAATAGGACACTTCTTGATATTAATTCTGCCCTTCAATACTCTATCTAGGTCAAACTATTGTATAACACATTGTCATCTTGCTGTTTCCTTAACAATGCTTGTGTGTCACCTGGATTCATGCTTACTTGAGTCGGGCTGACCAGAATCATGATGATAAGATGAGCTATGAAGAAGTCCAGACCCTGCTGCAGATGATCAATATTGACCTGAGTGACCAATATGCCCGCAGCCTCTTCCAGGTGAACGGGCACACACACACACACACACACACACACACACACGCACACATATATAAAAACTTTATCCCCTCATATATGGTTTCAATTAATATTTAAACCTATTTTAGATCACCACTATTTAAGTACACATTGCTTTAGGAATGACAAATTGAAGCCAGCTTGAAAATTGATGTTCATCTTCTGTCTTTTATTGTGTTTCTCCGAGAGAAATGTGACCAGTCAGCTGATGGTCGTCTGGACCACAGGGAGATTGAAGTTTTCTGCAGGGAGTTGTTACGGAGACCGGAGATAGATGCTGTGTTTGTCCGCTACTCTGCAAATGGCTGTGTACTTTCTACTGTGGACCTGAGGGATTTCTTGAAGGACCAGGGGGAGGACGCTTCACTCATCCATGCCCAAAGTCTCATACTCACATATGAACTTAATGAGTGGGGTACAGTGTTAAGTAACAATATACTGTAGCAATATTTATATGATGTATGTTTAACAAAACAGCTCTGATAAAATCAATGAGAGACAGACAAACTCAGTGACTATGTGTTAAACAAAAAATATCTAGTAAGTCTTGGCATGTTACATGTGCCTACCGAATTTCATACATGTAGGTGAAACACATTGTGAGTAGTGCCTCTTTGAAATTTTGAAAGTTGGGTGTGGTCAATCTGCTAGGAGGAGGACGTCAAATTGTAAAACAAGACATTTTCTGTTGCCACAAGGTACGCTATGATTATAACTGAATATTGGCATATGTATGTCTTCAGGCTGGGACTCTTGGCAGTCATACAAAGTTTGGGTCAGTTTGGACAACGTGTGTCATAACAACCTCTTTTTTCATGGTGAAACATCAGAATTTGGTGCACCACCACAGCCAGGTCCTCCAATTAAAACTCAAAATCTTTCCAATTTAGCATCGCAAAGGTCTTAAAATTAGACTGACCAGATCTGATGTCGATCTGATTAATACTCTAGACGGAGTTCATTAATATATGACATCCTTAATTCACAAAAGCAGTGCCAAAATTGCAGATTAAATTCAAAATGGCTGACTTCCTGTTGGGTTTAGGGTATGGGTGCAGGAGGCTTTTTTGTAAGTCTTGACATGTTACATGTGCCTATTTTCACACATGTAGGTTAAACACAAGGCAAGGGCTACTTTCTTGAAATTTTCTTGGTGGTTCTATCGAGGCATTTTGCAAGACCCACAAAGCATCTACATTTTTTTATCAGGCGTGACGCATGTGCAAAGTTTGATGAGGTTTTGAGCATGATATGGTCCTTAAAAAGGCTATTTTCAGAAATAATAATAAAGGAGGAAATACATAGAATAGAATGGAAAAAACAACAATGCATACATGTTTATTTGCATATAGAGCAGGGAAGTGATATTCGATCACAAGTGGCACCTCAAGACCATGGAGACGCATTTTAATGCCAGGTGTGAACAGGGCTATTGTGGGAGTAGGAAAATGGAATGGTGTGCAGAAGGTGATCAGAAGATCTGAGCGGTTTGAGCATAAGGATTAAGCAGATCAGAAATGTTCACTGGCACCAGTCCATGTAGTAAAAGCATGTAAGATGCCTTCTAATTTTCCAAAAGAGAGAACTGTTTTATTATTTTCATTATAGACCTAATGTAGGAACAACTACTACTAGTATCTAACTTTTGTCAAATTTTAAAGCAGAACCAAAAATTCCACCCAGAATTCTTGCATATATATATATATATGGATATACTAAGAGAAGGGCCCAAGCAAATATTTAGATGCAGAAGTGTAGTTAAGACACTGATGCACCTAATTCCTCAAAACTATTACAAAACATGGTGTCTATCTTAAAAACAGGATAAGTTTATCTCCAACCCATTTATGCTCTACGTCCAAAAGACCATGTAGTACAGCTAAAATTGCTATATATTAGCTGTACTGTAGAAACTGCACTATGACTACTACCACCAGTCATGTATTCCACTTGTGTTTGTGCCTTTTGCCCTGTGCAGCCCAGAAGAACCAGTTCATGACCCCTAATGGCTTCACCATGTACATGCTGTCTAAGGAGAACTGTGTCTTTAACCCTGAACATGCGAGGGTTTACCAAGACATGAGACGCCCACTGGCTCACTACTTCATCTCCTCTTCCCACAACACATACCTCACTAAGGACCAGCTGACTGGGGACAGCAGCACAGAGCCATACATTCGGTAATAATGATAAGGGCACCACAAAGTTAAGTACAGTCAGAGCTAAAAGAAATAAGATAAAGCTGTATGCTATTACAGGGTTTCCTATCCACCTCTGAAGTCCAAATTACAAGACCAAATACATCTTAGAGGTTCAACAAAGGTCTCCTATTCCTTTTGTTTTAAAATGTGGCTGAGAAATTCACCATTTCTTTTGCTTGTTTTTGAAGGATTCAACTGGGCTTTCTTCACAGTCAGTCCTTTGATCATTTAGTCATCTCATCATCATTTACACCATCACTGACACGTGCAGCATATCACGATATAACACAACAAAATGTATACATTAATTATCAAATTAATGCAAATTAAAGTCTTGTGCAATTATTAAAAAGGAAAGCAATGTACATGTGACATTATGGGAAATTATTAGTGGGGGCTGCAATTAAATTTACCACAGGTGAACTCCAATCTAGGTGAAGATAGAAACATCTCAAAGATGATGAGAAACGGGAGGCAATTTCAAGTATCACAGCAAAGGGTCAGAATACTTATGTCAAAATTCAGTTTGCATTTGTCAATATGGTGTGTAGATTGTTGAGGGAAAAGGATTCTATAAATTTGATCAAAATTAAAATTTAAATGATTTTAGCATAAGGTTGCAACATAACTGTCAAATCGGACAAGGTAAAACTTACAGTGTACACATTAGAATACAAGACAGAAACAAAAGAAATTCTGAAAATCAAGTGTGATCAAATCAAAAAAGAAGGGTACAGGGAAGGGCACAGATAACTTACAAACTTACATTACACCTTTAATCTCAGACTCTCCTTTGTTTCAGAAATTCTTAATGATGATGTTTTTCTTAGAGCTCTCAGTCATGGTTGCCGTTGCGTGGAGCTGGACTGCTGGGATGGAGATAAAGGAGAGCCAGTCATTTACCATGGACACACATTCACCTCCAAAGTACCCTTCGTTGAAGTCATTGAAACTATCAACGAGTATGCTTTTAAAGTGAGTACACTTTGATACAAAAAAATACTGGGCTTTGTAAATTGATTAATTGAATACATTTGTGTGGACAAAGATTATATACTTGTAAATCTATGCATTAAGAGAGACTGTTTTGTTGAAGGGGCAAAAGATAATTATCTTCTTCTAATATGCTCTATGGAGAAAATTATTTTCTCCCTGACATTGTACCCTCATCATTCTCTCCCAGGCTTCTCCTTACCCTCTGATCCTGTCCCTGGAGAACCACTGCTCTGTGGAGCAGCAGACAATAATGGCTCAACAGCTGCAATCCATCCTGGGAGACAAGCTGCTCACTAAGCCCCTCAATGGTCTCAATTGTCACAACTTACCCTCTCCAGAGGTAAGGAGACACTGTTCCATACACGGATGAAAGTTCAGTCCCATAAGAACTAATGTGTCTATCGAGACTAATAGTGTCCTTAAGCAAGACATATATCATGCTTGTGTGTCCTGGAGCTGCATTTTTTTTTTCTTTATGTGTAAGTTACTTTGAATGTTTTTGCATTTGCCTGAAGATTTAAAGACTGACATTATTACATGATTTGCCCAGATAGAAGTTTGTAATGTGCTTGCTACTTTTCAATGGAATGTGAACATGGTTAAAAAATAGTCAATAAGTGGCTCTCAGTCAGATTCCTCTGTAAGGACTTCACCCCGGCACATATTAAAACTTTCTCACTCTGGATGGCCGAACTTTTATTTCTCTGTCATGTAATTAAGGCATATGCAATCAGTTTGGTAGGATTATGCATAAAACATAGAGCAGACTGTGCTACACAGGAAATCTGGGGCCATCTGCTCTCCTGTGTCCCACTTATTTTACATTTACACATACTCATAATGTGCATGAGAGTTGGTGCATTTATGCATGATGTGTGCCTCAGTGATCGCAGATAGATAGATAGATAGATAGATAGATGGATAGATAGATAGATTGATAGAGTATTACTATTTTTTAAACACAGTGTTTGAGGATTAGTGTTATGGTTACCACTGCTTAATGATAGTGCTTAGTAGTGGTAGTGTCAGTTATAGTGTTATGCTACTACTCAAATACAGTGCTTGGTAGGGGGCCAAAGTTAGGGTTATGCATACTGATTTGATTTTGTTTTTTGTCAGTGATAAAGTAGCAGTTTTGATGTCTGTAGCTTCAGTAGTGACTCTAGTGGTATCATTAGCATGACAGAATAGTTTTACTGTAATTATCATTGTCAAACTAATTGGTAAAGTGTTGTGTGTATCTGTATTGTGTATGCTGGTTGTATCTGCGCAGGACCTTAAAGGGAAAATCCTTGTGAAGGGGAAGAAGGAGCATGTGGTGGAGGAGTGCTTGTTAAGTGCTTCAGACTTCAGCTCCTCAGATGAGGATGTCAGTTGGACTGAAGGCAAACCCTGCCCAAGAAAAGAGGAGAGGAAGGTGGGTATAACACCACCAGCATACATTTATTCTAGCAGTAGTGGCTCTTGCCCATTTACAAGGCGGGGGGGGGTTGAGGCATTGGTTGGTCAAGAATCTGATGGTTTTCTGTGTCTATCTTCTCAGCCAGGTGTGTCTAAGCTTAGTCCAGAGCTATCAGAGTTGGTCGTGTACACCCGCAGTGTTCCTTTTCAAAGCTTTGAACAAGCTGCCAAAAAACCAACAACTGAAATGTCCTCTTTCTCTGAAAGTGAAGCTCTCAGACACATTAAGGACTCAGGTATGATACGTGTCTGTGACTACACTTACACTTACTTTTGTGGATACAGAAAGTTTCCCATTTTTCCTACCTTGTTCAGGAAAATGATTATTTCCACAGTATACTACTGAATTAACTGGACTTTCCTCATCCTTACCCTCCAGGGATGTATTTTGTGCGTCACAATAGTCACCAGCTCAGCCGGATCTACCCCTCAGGACAGCGCCTCCAGTCCTCGAACTACAACCCTCAGGAGATGTGGAATGGAGGCTGTCAAATTGGTGAGAAGTTATTTTAAGTTACTCAATTGTCAAGAGAAGCAAACAGACCAATAAGAGAGTTGTCATTCAGAAACAAATCTGTCCTTTTTCTTATCTTCCTCTTTTTGATATAACGGCACAACAGCCCTATCACCCATTGTGATAAACTGAAATACATGCTGTTAACACTGCTGTGGTGTCCAGTTGCTTTGAACTTCCAGACACCCGGTGAGCAGATGGACCTAAACCATGGCAGGTTCCTGCAGAATGGTCATTGTGGCTACATCCTGAAACCTCCCTTCATGTGCCAGCTTGACACCACCTTCAACCCAGAGAATGTTGGTGGAGGTCCTGGCCACAGACCTGTACTGCTCACTGTTCGGGTAAGATGGCACAATATGAGTAGCACCTAAATGAGTAGCAAGTAGCAGAACTGCCGGTTCCACAAGTATTTTCCCACTGTCAGTTTGCATTTGAAAGATAATGATTTTCCTCAACATTAAACTGCATGAGAATTTTATGCTTTATAAATGATTTTGAATGAAATGCTTTTAGGGAGTTGTAGTTGACTGTAGCTTGACTCCAAACAGGATCCATGGAGGGAAACGGGGCCATAATGCTACACGCAAAGAGGGCCATTGTATCAGAGTGTCAAAACTGTTGCTAGCGCTTCTTGTTCCATTCTGGAAAGATACTCTAATGAAATTAAGATTTCCTGTATTGTTATTCTAGGTTATATCAGCTCAGCAGCTCCCCAAACCAGATTGGGACAAGCCCAGTTCCATTGTGGACCCCCAGGTTTGGGTGGAGATACATGGTGTACCCATCGACAACAATAAGAAGAAAACCCATCATGTTGATAACAATGGTAAATACTCTATACCTCACAAAAGACGATTTGGCAATTAAATGGCTTCAGTAGGAGCATAAAGGAACTTCTACACAGCTTTAGAAAGCATTGTTGAAAGTGGGTTGTGGCTGAAAAGGATTGTATAATTGTATGAGGTTTAAACAATATAAAATTACTATTGCATTTTAAAGTATCTTAGAGATGACAATGATCTACCATAGAGAAGTGATTCCTGCTCAGGGGTGCTTGAACCCCAGGGGGTACTTGTCAGGGGATATGTAGAAAGATTATGGAGTTCAACTAATTTGAAATAATATGAACAATGTCGTCATTGAGAGTGTCTGAAAACTAGCAGAGAAGCCTAAGCAGTTAGCTAGAAGTATTGGCAAAAAGCTAGGTAACTGATAAATGGTTAATGGACAAAGCAATATGCTGATGAACAGTTGTGCTCCTCATGGATCGGTTCAGATTTGACGCCCTTTGAAGCCCTGTTATTGGGTGGGTCCAGTGCCAACTAGACTCACCTGTGGCTATGCTTATGTGTATGTTAGTTAAGCTGACAGATCTGTGGGGGTACATTAGACAAAATTGGATGGGAATCACATACTGCATGAACATGATTTCATGCAAAGTTCATCAAACAAACTTGTGTGTATATCTGTGTAAGAAATTGTTGTTTCTTTGTTTCAGGCTTTAACCCAAGGTGGGACTGTACATTTAATTTTACCGTCCACATCCCTGACCTGGCACTGGTTCGCTTCATGGTGGAAGACTATGACTATACCTCAAGCAATGACTTTCTAGGGCAATACACCCTGCCTTTCACCAGTCTCCGCACAGGTGTGTTTAGGGACAGTAGGGTTTGACTAATATGGGGGCTGTCACAAAGACTTGCTTGAGATTGCCAAGACAGTATAAATAAACATTTGCTCTCCTGAATTTCTTTCCCTTACCTCTGCAGGTTATCGCCATGTCCAACTGCGCAAGCTGGATGGCTCCAGCCTTTCACCTTCCTCTCTCTTCATCCACATCACAGTCACCCCTTGCAAGAGCAGTCCTTACAAATCATCAGCAAAATCACCAGCCAGGTCTTTAGCCAAGGAACCCTAATCTACCCTCTTCCCCTAGCCACATGAAGCATGGAAGCCACGATGGGAAGATCCCTGAACATATCTGCCTTGACCAAGGAAATAAAGGATCTGGCCCCAAACTCATAAAACTTAGTGGTTATAAATTTGTCTTGCAAATGCTGATGCTAAAGATAAAAATGCTGACCATTATTTCAAATTTTTGAAGAAGAAAGCAAATGCTTTTCTTACTGTTCGATGCTTATAATTAACCATGGTGGTTAGTTTTGTGATTAAGTCCCTGATCTTCCTAAGGGTGTCAAAATAGCAAACATGGAGATATAATCAGCGAGGGATATAACATCACTGATGAACCAAATGCCAATTTTGGGTGTGATTGGAAGGTTTAACTGAACGCCCAGCCTCATTCCCTCTAACAACATTGACTGACTGTTGAATACTAACAGTTTCTTTAATTTATCATTTAATGGGGGTTTGATTGTTAGAGCAGGACTGAAGAACTTAATTATAACCCATTGATCCAGCCTGCAGAGGTATACCATGACCAAGTTTGGTGCTAGATTTTGTCTTTACATTTTGAACATATAAGCTAACCTTGCAATTAGTTAAGTCTCATGGCTTCTATAGGAAATTTTTTTTTAATTATATGTATCATAGTTTTGTGTCTATTTTGTGTAGTCTGCTGGTATGTGATTTGACCATTACTTTTAGATTAGATAGCCTACATCCCAAGTGTAGACTTTATACATGGTGTGTGAAGTAGCCATCCTCTATGAAGTGTTCAGGGACATGTTCAGATTTTTAAAATTAATTTTAAAACAACCAGAGGTCATTCAAAGAGCTAATAGTCATTGTCATCTTCCATTTTCCATTTTCTGAAACCAACAATCCAACTTTATTTCATGCAGCAACTGGGCAGGTGTGCCACAGTGAGAAAGTAGGTTGGATTTTGACTTCTCTGTGACCTTCTTTTACACTCTTGAATCAGCTATGTTTCATTACTATTTGTAGCAACAACGGTCTGAAAGTGTATGCTATTATCCCAGTTTTTACTATCATCACATCTTGGCCCTCTGTATGATGGCAAGCTTGTCACTAGGCTCTATTGATGTACATATGGCGTGCACGTATTACATTGAGATTGTCTACGATAAAATATTCAAATTTCAAGGTTCAATTTTCAGCTTTTTCTGAATCTTTTGGCCATATCACACTCAGTGAATTTACATGCACTGTAATAACAAGATTACTTATTAGGTTAGTGCTGTATAAATACAGATTTACCAGATTTTACCTGTCTGTACCTGTATTTGTAAAGAGTTGATTAGAAACATGGATACCTATTTACATGGCATTTGCATTCTCCCAGTTAAATCTACCTGGGGTCACCGAGTTTCTCAAAACCACTACCCCAATTACAATAACCACATATCTTGTTATCATGGCTATTAAGAAAGGCTGTGAAAAAGGCTGTGAAAAAAAGCTAGTGAGAACCCTGAGTTTACAATACTTTTCCACAGATGTGTTCAAACAGCGATGAAGCAATCTCTATGTATTATGAGAGAAATCCAAACCTGTCCTTTTAACACTGTAGTGGAGATGTTCAGGTCCTAATGCAGCTTTCAGTGTAAATCTGATATCAGGTTAAAATTGGGCAATGTCCCCAATACATAATATGTGTGTATATATATATATATATATATATATATATATATAATGCAGCCTAATGTATTATGCCTAATTAGTTAGGTTCTGACAAAATTCCTTTTTTTAGTAGCCATGTTATGTTCAGGTGTGTTTTGTGCATGCAGAGTCAACCTGACTGACGATCCTTTGTGACTGTAACATGACTTTATTGTTGTCAGTGTTTGAACAAATTATACAACACATTTCTTTGTTAGGCATCAATCTGTTATGTCATCCACTGTAGGTGTTGAAGGTAAGGTTTTATACAGTGTTGTTTTAATTAAGGAAGGAAATGTTTAAGTTTGTTGAAGCATTTGGTTTTTAGGACATTAGTATTTTGTTAATTTACACATGACAAGAAATACTATGAATATTTCATGCAGAGTTTAACTTACAGAGAATACTGTGTAAATATTGCAATATTATGTATTGTTTCAATCAAGGCTGGGTGCTGGGAATATGAAAAGATAGCCTACTTGATATCAGTATTAGTCTGTCTCTCTGTAGTATTAGTCTAAAAAAATATATTTTGGCATTTTTGCCAAATTAGTCATTATTTGATAAAGAACTTAATGTGCTATCATTTTAACAAAAATATGATCAGGGTGTTCTTTTGAATTTTTGAGCTACTGCCAATATTTAACAGTTTAAAAAAATCCCAGCCGTGTTTGTGACAATATTGCACATATGCACATAAATCAAGAACTGTAAGTGAAAGAATTATATACATGGTAAGAAAGACCAAAGTTGTGTGTTTTGAACTGAAGAAATGATAACCCTAACACTAACTGTACAATTCAATATATCGACATTTTTGGGGTTATTACCTACTCCAATGAGATTATATGTTCACCTGTGTCTGTTTATTTGTCACCAGGATTAAGCAAAAAGTGCGGCACCCATTTGCACCAATTTTGGTGGGGGAGGTGGGGCATTGGCAAGGAAAAATCTTGGTGCTGATTCGGTTAAAGGGGCAAATCCAGGAATTTTTATCACTTTCCTCAACATTGCAAGTGCATTTGTTTGACATTTTCATCAATATTGCACCAGCTGTATGTTAAATGACTTGATATTTATTTAACCACCTTATGTATACACGATAGAATAGAAAATTATTAAAACACTGAAAATAATAACCATTATCCAAACAAATTGAAGAACCTCATAATGTTAGATGGTATTTGAGTAACCGAAGTTCAGTTCTAACCATACTGTCAAATGATACATACATGACATGTTTCTGACAATGATAACTAAAAATAAAGTGGAATTCAAGCATTACATTTTCTTTTATGATCATCATCATCATATTATGGGCTCGATACAAAAAATTGAGATCCTAGAAAATCTTATTTCACAATGTTTTATTGAATTTGTTAAGTCAGCTTCCGGTTTAGCAAATGAGTGGGTAGACGTTAAATCAGGAGCTCCTGGTGGATGAAGTGATAAAACATCGAAAAGCCAAAATTCAAACGCGCAACCAGAGAGGGGGTGAGTACTAAAAGGGAACTTACCAAAAAAGAAACGGAGAAGAAGCAAAGAGAGTGAGAGAAAATGGGAGATAGAAAGGGAGACGATAGGTCAGATGCCGCTAATGACGACATGCTAGCTAGCATGAAGGCTGGCTTTGACAACGTGTCTAAGCAGATTGGGACCAATAGCAAGGAAAACCGTAAAGAAATGAAGGACATTCAAGAGAGTATTCAAAATCTGGGAAGTATGTTGAGACAAGAACTAGCCACTTTTAAGGAGGAGATGGGCCACAGGTTCGAGGCCATCGACAGGGGAATGGAAGCCCAGGGCAGAGATATTGCAGACATGCAAGAGCGCGTGGTGGAGACCGAGGAGTGGAATGCAGAGCTGAAGGGGATTCTCGCCTCTTCCCTCAAGCAGCAAAGGAGGCTACAGGAGAAAGTAACTGACTTAGAAGGGAGATCGAGAAGGAACAATATTCAAGTTTGGGGAGTACCAGAGGGCGAAGAGAAGGATTCGGCTTGATTTATAGAGCGCTTGATTCGCGAGGAGCTTAAGCTCGGGGAAGATGCCAGTCTACACATACATGCTCACAGAGCGTTGGCACCGAAACCTGCCCCAGACAAGAACCCCAGAGCGATCATTGTCAACTTCCTGCAGTACCAAATCAAGGATGACATCCTCAAAAAGGCCTGGCAGACAAAAATCGAGACTGGGGGAAAGACAGTGACGTTCGACCACGACTACCCAGCGGAGGTGGCTGCAAAGCGCCGTAGCTATGTGGGACTGAAGAGAGTTCTAAAGGGAGAAGGGATTAAGTTCCAGTCACCGCTAACTTCACTGAAAGTCCACTGGCAAGGAGGCGTCCAGACCTACGGCACACACACAAGAAGCTGCACGGGCGATGGAGGAGAGGGGAATGAAGGTGGATGGACTGATGGAGGAACAACAACCGATGCTGAAGCAGCAGCTTGAGGCCGCTTTCAAGTGGCGCAGAGTAGGGGACCAGGAGACCGAGGTCGCTGGGAGAGCAAGGAAGGAACTGATGCGGTTCACTTGGAAGAAGTGAGAGGAGACGAGAAGAGATTATCTTTGTAGCCTATACCACGGAACAGACAGGAACTTTTGCATTTTCTATTTGGATTCCTAGTATTTTTCTCAAAGACTCTTTGGTTCCTGGTTGATTTCTGAAAGTTACGTAAGTAGTCTGTAGGCATATTTTATTTGGGCGAAGGATGAGGGGAAACACTGCTGTTATGCATGCTATGAGAGACGAACCGAATGACATAGCCCACTCATGTATAGAGTTTTTTTTAGGGTTAGCCTACTTATTTTACTGAATGGGGTATTCTATTTTATTTCATTCTCCATTATGTGGGATAGTTTGGACAGTGTGGGTAAATATATATCCCTATGCTTAACGTTTTCTTGGCTTTAAAAGAATTATAAGGTCAAGGCCGGGAGTGATGGTTGGAATATGTTGGACATTTTTAGCGTGAACGGAGGACTTCAGTTTGGAGAGTTGTCCATCGCTAAGGGGGGCCCTCTTACGAGAGGATTTCCCCTCTCCCCACCAACAGGGGAAATGGGGAGAGATAAAGACCCCAGTTTACCATGGGAGATCACTTTTTTGTTTACTGTTTAGTTAGAACAGCTGTTGCTGATGTTTTTTATGTGTCCATGTTTAGCTTATGGGTAATGAAAGTGCATTGGGGAACTGATGTATAATGCAGCATGAAGATGTTAAAGTGGTATCACTGAATGTGAATGGGCTGAGTAGTCCAATTAAGAGGGCAAAGTTTATGGCCAAATTCAGAAAAGAAAAAATGCAGGTGGTGTTTCTGCAGGAGACACATTTGTCTACAGAGGAACATGAGAAACTAAAGAGATTTGGGTATAACAACACATTTTATAGCACTTGCCACAAACAAAGTAATAGGAGCAGTGTAGCTATATTCAAATTCAACCAAATTTGAACCTGAAAAAGAAATGTGTGATAGGGAGGGAAGGTATATAATGGTAAAGGGTAAATTAGAGGGACAGAGAGTGACACTGATCAATGTATATGCACCCCGACATAGCAAGAAACCCTTCTTTGAATCATTATTTGACATCATTAATGTAGAACTAGAGGGGTTCTTAATATGTGGAGGGGACTTCAATATGGTGATGAACTACAATCTAGATACGACTAGTACAAAGAAGAATAGGACATGGCTTAATAGATATATGAACACGCAACTGGTTGATTTGGGAATAGTAGATGTTTGGAGAGACCTACATCCCTTGGAGAGAGACTACACACACTATTCAGACCCACACCAAATGTATTCAAGGCTGGACTATTTCTTCATGACAAAGGGAGATATGCATAGGGTAGAGGACTGTACGATAGGGGTAGCAGATTTATCAGACCATATAGTCTACATGACAATAAACTTAAACAAGAGAAGGAGGACTACAGTGACTACAGGACTACAGTGACGACAGGACTACAGTATGAATGTGGGGGTACTGAATGACAAAGACCTGGTGGAAAGGATAAAAATGGATATAAATAGGTATATAGAGGAAAACGATAATGGGGAGGTAGATCCAACCATTCTTTGGGATGCGCTTATGGCCGTCATTAGGGGGAATTTGATGGCACAGACAACGCTGCGCAAGAAATCCAGACTAGTGAACTACCAGACACAAATTGGACACTTAAAGGACTTGGAGAGAAAACATAATGCCACAAGTGACCCAGAGGTACTTAGACAAGTGAAAGAAACAAAGAATAAAATAGATAATATATTACTGTCAGAAGTGGAAAAGAAGGCTAGATTTGTCAAACAAACCTATTATGAAGGAGGTCCCAAAGCAAGCAGATTACTGGCTAGACGTATAAGAAAACAAGCATTGAACACCATATACAAAATTAGAGACCCCCAAACTAATGATTTGCTTACTGAACCAGACGAAATAGAGAGAGAATTCAGGGAATATTATCAAAACTTATACACACAGCTAGCAATGTCAGACGAACAAGATATG